AGTATCACTACACTTGATTCCACGGATCCAGTACCATCCAGGTATCCCAGTTACAGGGTCTAGTTAATGTCAGAAATGTAAAAGGACAACAGAAAACCAAAAAAAATTTCAGAAAATAAACGACACTTTGACAAAACAAACAACAGTAACAAAACAAATGATAGTAACAAAACAATGTATGCCTTTGCGAGGAAAGTTTTGAATTAACATGATAAAGTTGATGATTAAGTGTAGGTTTCTCCCATTGAATGTGGATAGCTTCTTTGATTTTACGTTGAAAAGTTGTGGAAGCGTGATCTAAGATGTTAAAACACTCCTCAGAACAAAGAGTGCGACATTGTGGAGAATGGTGTTGACATATGAAAATGTGAGAGGTCCTATCAGTGACCAAGTGCTCACGTGTGCATGTGGATAAACGTCGAGAGGTTTCGCCGACAGTGCATGCAGTACAGCCTGCACATAAAAATTTGTAAACCACACACGTATGGAGCCCACAAGGGATAGGATCTTTCACACCAAACATGTTGCCGATTTTGAAAGATGAAAAAACCAACTTGATATCGATGCTGTTACAAAAATGCTCAGCAAATTGGTGAACCCTTTTTTTACGTGGCAACAGAAAAGGAGCCAATGTAAAGTAATTAGCTAGTGTGAAGCTAGTCTTACCGAAAAGTTCGAGTTAACTTTTCGGCAACACTAACTTCCGATATCACAAACTCTCAAAAGAACTCACGAAAGGAATCAGCACAATACAGAGGCCCTGTACATGTCATCTAAAATCAAGACATACAACATTTGAAAATGAACGCAAAATGATGGATTCATTCGCCAATAATAAAACTCTTGAAATCAGATAAATAACCTATTATTTTCAATTTACCTAAAATAAAGCCTCATACGTTTTCAGGAAAATGTTCCAGTTGTCCGTCTTTCTCCTTACAACTGCAGTAAGGAAAATTACAACACATTTGTAATCTTGGGTAAAACATATTTTTATAACCCAACTGACCAGGGACATTATGAATTCCTCTAATATGTGTTTTTAAAGCCGGGTAAATATTTTCCATAACCGCCTTGTAATCTGGACTGTTTGAAGCAAGTGGCGAACTTTCTGCGGGATCATCTGTCATATCGTAGAGAAGAGGTGGATTTTGAACTTCGACAAGATGTCCATGACAGCCGCAAATACCATGCCCACTACACATTTCAGTTCCTTCAGTCCATTTAGCCGTCATAAAGTGTGCCTTCCAAACAATGTCACTGTCCTTTGGATGATAACGAACAGCATGGACCTGATTTCCACAGTAATGGAAAATAAATTCATGGGAAGATTCCTCTGTCTGGTTGGTCAATAGTGGTAAGAGATCTTTTCCGTCAATAACTCTGTCCTGTGGAAGGTCTGTG